AAATAAATAAATATATAAAATGTTTTGTTTTGTTTTTTTTACAATACCGAGTATCCTGTTTGAGGGATCTGTGTCTTGTCCCAGGTTTCTGGTATTGGAGTGGAAGTTTGAACCAAAGGCCTTCTGCAGAGAGAAAGGGTTAGAATGACTTTAATTATTGTTTTTAAAGGTTGAAAACACACATCAGATAAATGTAATTAATGATCACTGCGGTAAGCAGACTTCTTTTCTTTATTCAAACTTTAAGTTTTGATTTTAAATGAATAAAATATTTTTCCGTTATAAGCGACAATGAAAAACATATTTTTAATTTCTTGCAAATTCCTTGAAAAACAAACTAACGAAAGAAAAAAACAAAAAAACCCAAACTAAAGAATTGTGACTCATGCTGAGGCTCCACACAGACAGGGAAATAACTGTTTGATACCCTGCTGAATTTGTAGGTTTGCTCACTTTACAAAGAAATTAAAATATAAAGTCTCTCATTTTGATGGTCGTTTCATTTTAATGGAGAGATCAACCAAAAATTCAGAAACAAAACCCCCCATTACCGAGTTCTTTGATCTGCATGTCATTGAGTGAAATAAGGATTTGATCCCATACAAGCGAGCCAAATGAACACAGCTAATAAGTGAAACAGAAGAATTTAAGAACAATCAGGGTTGTTCCTACAGTCTTTGAGTCTTATTAAGTTAAGTTACTAAGTAGCTCAACAGTGTCTCTAAGAAACCTGTAGACATCATGTTTTGTGAAATCTTTGTTGACTAAAAAGCTAATATGACCAGTTACTGATATGGCTAGCTACTTATTTACATCTCCACGAGTAAATAATCAACATCAGAATTCATTTAGAGTCACGTTTCGTCTTCTTGAAAGAGATATTTGGCTGTGTCAAAAATTAAATCAGCATTGAAATCCCCCAAAACAACTGCAATTCCTTAAATGGCCACTTGAAGTTAGCTTAAAAAGTTGACCCACTTTTGTGGATAATGTTTACAGCCTGGTACAAAATAATGGTTTTTGTCTCTATAGCAAATTTTATCACCCACGACTATGGGGTGCCGTGAAAATGACAGTTGTCTTCCATGCAATTTGACAAAGCTTCATAGGATCTGCCAGCAAGACCAGGAAAAAACCAAATTCACGAGTGTGGAGCCTGTAGAGATGTGGTCAGACTCAAGGCTGTGCTGCTGAAAAAGGAGCTTCTAAAATGTATCAACACCAGTTTTTGAGTTTTTCCAACAAATTTTGCCAATATTTCTATAAACACAAAGATGAAGCCAATTTTATTTTCATTTAAAATTACATGCAGAACTTCCTGAATTCAGAAATTTGAATCAGGCAAATGTTTCATAAGGACAAACATTTTGTAGCATCAGCTGTTATCAAGTTTTATGTAGCTGTACTCTACATGACAAATAGTTAGATAGATAGATATCTAACTATATCTAGATATAGATATAGATATATATCTATATGTAGATATGTGTTTCTTTTAGACTTCTATGACCAAGGGAAAACCCGAATGTTGGCATGGTTACCCATCAGTACTGAACAGAAATGTGTTAGGTTTAAGCCAATATCTCTAAATCAAATCCCATCTCCAACTGGAATTCGAGTGGAGTATCTGTCAGAATGAAGCTGCAGCAGCATTCAAAGATCTCATGATTGAGAAAAAAAAGGTAAAGGGGTTTGAAAACTTTCTTGCGGGGCTGTTTTTGGGATGACGTACCTGACTCTCTTTGTTAGGACATCTGCAGCAGAGACAAACCGTGGTCGTCTGCACACGAGCCTTTTGGTGCCATAATGCTTGTTTGTCTGCATCATGTCTGACGGGTAAAAAAGTTTAAACTTACATAATAATTATAAAGCCAGCTGTACATGTTAGCATTTCTGAAGTCAGCAAACAGAGACAGTTTCCATATTCTTTGTTTACCCTGGAAACTGAGTGAATATGAGTGTGAACCAGCAGTGAACTCCAACACGTCTTTATCATTGGCCAGAAACTTCTCCTCCAGCTTTGTGCTGTTGATGTCTGCTGTTTTATGTCCACTAGTCTGCAAAGCAAGAAAACTGAGCGAGTTTTTGACCTCAAACCTGCACTGGGACATTAATAAAGAACAGTTGATTATAATACCTGAGCTAATCGTAAATCAGCATCATTATAATTCTTTTAGAGACACTTTGTCTTTAAGGAGACCTGACTGCATCAAGCACTTAAGTACCAAAAAACAGCCTTAAAAAGCGGACCCAAATTTACAGCAGAACTGAATACGCTTACGGGCTGGTACAAAAATGGGTTTTGGTATGTTTTTTTTGCACATTGAAATAACATTGAAACCTAGGTACTAGCTCAGGCTCCTTCCACACCAGAGAAGTGACAATCCATGAACTACAAGCTAGTTTTTGGAAGCTACTCCGCAACTTTTGCTATCTAGCAGCCAAATATGATTCCTGGCTGGAAAAGTTTTTTCATATATTTTTTTCATTTAAAATTTCTCCCTGAGTGTAATGGAATCACTGCTGATGCCAGATCAGGATGATATTGTTGGAGGATAGAACAACAACATGAAACACAAGCTGAAAAGCACAGTAGAGTTCTCCTGTAGGGGAAACAAAGCACTGCAGGCTCAAACTGTGAGGGATTTTTCACATTACAAATAGTTTGTTTGTGTTTTTCAATAAAACTATTAAATCAGACTCACAATTAGTTACATTTTTTGAATGTGGATACACAGTGGACTGTTAAAGTCGTGCCTTAATGTCTTAGCAATCTGCCAAAATTTCTGCAAACACTCTGTAGTTACTCACAGCGGATGCAAACATGTTCCAACTCCCAAACTCATCCTGCCAGTACCAAAGCCACTCGGTGGTGTGGATGAAGGTCGGCTCGATCACCGAGTTTTCTGTCGAGAGTCGACGCACTTTGTTCCATCCACAGGTCATCGTGTCAAAGTGCACGGCCGGGCTGGTGCTACTGCAAAAAAACAATCAAAGTATTAACATGAAGATGGTCAGTTATGCAAAAACTTTGATGATTTTTATGATTCTTTGTTCAGTATTTTGTGGTGATTTAAACTAAATTTCACTGTCATAATTTTGGTGAATAATGTGGTACGTGAAACAAACGCTGCGTGCCTGAAATGACCATTTTAAGAACATTATCTTGCACTGACATCATACAGAGCCAACATCAAAACTTTTTACCCTCATAAAAATTACTATCACATACACTGAGCTTGATTTTAGTTTAAAAGGAGCATCTGTTATTTTATCAACGCATATTTGAAAAAAAGTGGAAACGCTTAATAGTTCCACTAGATCTTAAAAAACCCTGAGATGTCTGAGTTGCAGAATAAATGTAGGTACCTGTATGAGTTACTGGGGTCACAGTAGTCTCTCTCAATTGTCTCATTATCGGGCAAATCAGTCCACTGGTGTCCCTCTTGGACCTGCCATCGGTACGGCATCTTGTCATGAGCTTTAAAACATCGATCTAAGAAGAAAGAAGAAAGACAGCTGATCAAAGTCAAGAAAGAACTACATTAACGCCTCAAACACTTACTAACCATGACTTTCTCACCATCATGTTTGCAGTGACCTTTAATGAAGTACATGCAGATCCCTGTTTTATCTGAAAGAAACAGGAGATATTTCACAGGCTTCATTCAGACAGCAGTTTTAGTTCATCTCCCCACAGAAGTGTTTCCAGCCGTTGTTTACCTCTGACAGGCCTCTGCCTATTATTCTGCCATTCTCCGCCTTTAGCAGCTTCATCATTGACAGCAGCACGAATGTCACTTAAGGAACGAGCATTTTGAAAACGCTGATGGTTGCCCCTGTTCCTGGTAGCGGCGACAGTGATGTCACTGGTGGGAGAGTTGTCATCGTCACTTTCATTCAGTCTATCGCTGGACCACAGGTCAAAGCCATCAATGTTTGCAGCAATGTTACTAAGTGAACGGGCTCGATGCAGATCTGGGCGGCTGCTGTGGTTTCCTCTGTTTCCTCTAAAGCCTCTGCTGAGCTGATGGCCACCTCTCCCTCTGCCTCTCTGACTTTGTTGACCATGGTCACTGACTCCAGCCAGCTTCAAAGCCTGTTTATTTGCATAAGCAGCTTTCAAGGACTGAAAGAGTGTGTCAGGTACGCCTCTAGCTTTCAAAGCTTTTAATGGCTGTGGAGCATTAAAATCGTGGTTCTTCCAGCAGCTGCATTTACAGCTGATGTAGTTCTCACAGATGTGGAGCCGCCTGCAACCATCACCATCCTGACACCGGCCGAACTCTCCATCACCATTGTTGTAGTTGTAGCATATCTGATGGAGAAAGGGGGAAAAAGGGGAGTTACAAAAGTATACTGTATATAAAAGATGAATATAGCCATCGTGATGTCCAACTTCTTTATTTGTATTTTTTCCAACTTTATTTTTATTTAACAGGAACATTAACATTTACACAGACACAACAAGGGAAAAAAGAAAAGCAAACAACAAAATTTTAAAAAATAGAAAGAGGGGGGGGGCGGGGATTCACCCAAGGCAATGTGAAGTTACTAAAAATGTAATTTTTCCACTTGGAGATATACAGTGTATCTTGCTCGTTTATATATACACCTACATCTATGTACATACTCACACACACTTTCAAGTATCTACATACCATTCCACCCGCTCCATTACACCTAGGGCTGCCACCAACGATTACTTTGATAGTCGACTAATCAGATCATCATCCATTGGACATAAAACGTACAGCTTATTGCACCAGCAGCATCTGCTCGTATATAACTATCATTAGCTTACAGCTTTAAGTGTTTAAGGTCTGTGCTAACTAAAAATAAAGACAAGATGATAGTTTATTAAATTTTAATGAAATTTGCAGATTGTTTCGGTGAAGTTTAATAAACTCCTTGCTATCTAAACTATAACAGGACACCGGAGTAAATTCTCCAGCATCTCACACTTCTGATAATCAGCTGTCTGCTTGACGTTTATTCAGCTGTGTAAAAACTATAACTTTAATCTCAGCCAAACCGATTTACTCAGGAACAAATAAAATACTAAAAAAGCCAAACAATAACATTTTAAGTTATCTAAGTGACTTATGTCTGTTTAACCTGAGCAGCGAAAGATGAAAATGATTTGCCGGGAGTCCGGTGTTCTCACGGCGCTAGTGACCTAGCCCCCGGCTAGCTATCGAGCTAGTGGGTAACAGACGTCTCCGAAAACGTCGGAGCGCTTTTGAAAATATGCGGTGTCCTGATAAACTGAGCAGATATTTGAGGTTTACACAGCTACATTCTCGCCTGAAAATGTGTTAAATGTTTATTCTGTGACCCAGAAAGAATAATAAGAGTAATATTAAAACTAACTAGCTGCCGCCATTGTTATAAACTGAGCTGGGCTGCGCTATGAATTCTGGGACACAGCTTCTTCTTCTTCGGGGTTTAACGGCAGCTGGCATCCTTGTACATGCAGTGCTGCCATCTTCTGTTTCAGTCCGTTATTACACTCTTAAATCCTACTACTTATTCCTGCGGCTTTTGTGATCTTACAAAGCTTCAAACGACGCGTCGACTATCAAAATCGTCGACGACTTATTTAATAGTCGACGTAATCGTGACTAGTCGACAAATCGTGGCAGCCCTAATTACACCCTATTCCAGTTTTAGGGGAACCTTTTGAGGACATACTCATTGACTGTGTTGGTCCACTTCCTAAAACAAAATCGGGACACCAGTATCTTCTGACTTTGAATCCATTGTTAAGGCGCTGATGAACTTCTTTTCTACTTTTGGGTTGCCGAAATCTGTCCAAACGGACCAAGGCTCTAATTTCATGTCTCGGATTTTTGCTCAAGTTTTGCGATCACTTGGTATTAAACATCACAAGTCTAGTGCATATCATCCGGAGTCGCAAGGTGCACTCGAGCGTTTTCACCAGACATTGAAATCTATGATGCGGAAATTTTGCCTTGAGTCTGGAAAGGAATGGGATGAGGGGCTGCCGCTGCTTCAGTCAGACAACTACAGCTCATTCAGAACTCTGCTGCTCGAGTCCTCACTAAGACCAAAAAAGTGGACCACATCAGTCCAGCTCTGAGGTCTTTACACTGGCTGCCTGTCCGTCAGAGGATAGACTTTAAAGTTCTGATGCTGGTCTATAAAGCTCTGAATGGTTTAGGACCAAAATACATCAGTGACCTCCTGACCCAGTATGAACCTTCCAGATCCCTCAGGTCATCTGGATCCGGTCTTTTATCAGTTCCCAGAGTCAGAACCAGACACGGAGAAGCTGCATTCAGCTTTTATGCTCCTTATATCTGGAACAAACTCCCAGAAAGCCTCAGATCAGCTGAAACACTCAGTTTATTTAAACCCAGGTTGAAGACTCACCTGTTCTCAGCTGCATTTGAATAAAGCACCAAATCCACACTTTTAAGCTTAAATTTCAAAACTTACACTAACTACTGATCTTATCTATTTCTGATTTTATCTGTTTTGATTTTATATACTGTTTTGTTTGTTTGTTTGTTTGTTAAGTGGGTTTAGAGCTCTGGGTAGCTCCCCAGCTGGGTCTAGACTGGGTCTAGAGAGTATTTTAAATTCAGGGAATTTAAAATAGAAAGTAACTCGTCCACAGAAGGACTGGTAGCTCCCCTTACGATAAGGGTTCAGATCGCGCGAACAGGTGTGAAATGTGTGTGTTTAGTTAGTTTGTTTGTTTTGCTTGTTTTAATCAATGTTAAATCATGCTTTTTATTTGTTTTTGTTTCTAATGTCTCTGTAAAGCACTTTGAATCACCTTGTTGTTGAATTGTGCTATACAAATAAATTTGCCTTGCCTTGCCTTGCCTTCTTTTAGCGGCGAGGGTAAGCGTGCAGGAGTCGCTAGGATTTAGCCCTGCTGAGCTGGTGTTCGGTCACACACTGTGTGGCCCGTTGCAACTACTCAAGGAGAATTTTCTGTCTGACATAGATGCTCCTAAGGAAAATGTGTTGGATTATGAGAGTTCTTTTAGAAAGTGTTTGCATAAAGCATGCGCAATCGCACGCTCTTGATGCAGCGCAGGGAAAGATGAAAAGGAAGTTTGATAAGAAAGCTGTGCAAAGGAAATTTGAGGTTGGTGACAAAGTTTTAATACTTCTACTCCTTCAGTGGTCCGTATACAGTGCAGGCGGATTGAGCGAAGGAAACAGTGTTGTGTGTGTCATATCAATATGATGAAGCCTTACTTTGCTAGTGGTGTATCAACAGTTGCGACTGTGGGGGTGCCAGTTTCCAAAACCTGGTATGACCCGGTAAGTGATGATGTGGTTTTCAGTTGTGCTGAGGGCTGTGCACGACTTAGAAACTCTGAAATCCTAAGTGATCTAAGGTCACATTTAAAGGATGCTGTTCAAAGTGACGTGTGTCGGTGGATTGAGAATCATCCTACTCTTTTCTCTGACACTCCTTCCTGTACCACTGTGCTGGAGCATGATATCAATGTGGGGGACCACCCTCCAATCAAACAGCATGCCTACCGGGTGAATCCCACTAAACGTGCCATTTTCCAGACAGAAGTTTCTCATCCGTTGGAAAATCATCTTGCTGTTCCTAGCTCTAGTGCGTGGAGTTCCCCCGTGTCTCCTAGTGCCTAAAGCAGATAAAACCCCGCGGTTTAGTATGAGTTTTCGGAAGGTGAACAGCGTGACCAAACCTGACTCCTATCCTCTTCCCAGAATGGAAGATTGTGTCAATATGGTCGGTTCTGCGAAGTTTGTTACTAAGCTGGACTTGTTGAACGGTTATTGGCAAGTTCCTCTAACATCACGTGTGGCCAACATCTCTGCTTTTGTTACTCCTGACCATTTTCTTCAGTACACTGTCATGCTTTTCGGGTTGCGCAACGCCCCCGCCACATTCCAACGGCTCATGAATATCGTGCTGGGAAGCGTTCTCAACTGTGAAGTGTATTTAGATGATATTGTCGTCTATTCAGACACCTGGTCAGAGCATAAACGCTCGCTGATGTGTTCCATCGCTTGGAAAGGGCATCCCTCGCCCTCAATCTCGCCAAGTGTGATTTTGGCAAAGCCACTGTGACGTATCTAGGGAAACAGGTGGGTCAAGGACAAGTGCGCCCTATTTTGGCAAAAATCCCTGCCCCTCGTACTAGGCGTGAGCTCCGCCATTTTCTCGGCATGGTGGGCTACTACCAGGGTTTCTGTCGAAATTTCGCGGAAGTGTAAATACTGGGTAGGATATGATACTGGTTTCACACCAGCACATTTGGATGGGGTGTTTAGAGAATTTACAGCATACTGTAAGATCTCAACCAAAACAGACATGGACAGCTTCCTACAACTCAGTGAAACTTACAGGTTAAATAAAACAGACTTTTACAGATAATTACAACTGAGACACCGTTTTAATAAAAATATTAAAGTTGCAAGGGAGGATTCTGAGGAGGCGGGCCTCATTGACATGTTTGTCGACACCTATAAAGGTAAAGTACATAAAAGGCTGATCTCGAAACTGTGCTCATGTTTACAATCACTTAAAGAGGACTTAAGGACTTAAAGAGAGAGAAGGAAGTGATATTTCTTCATGTGCATCATGTGATTTCCAAATCACACGATACACATGATTTTGACCTACACCCGTTTTCAGACTTTGGCTCGTGTGATTAGGTAGAGGATTATTAGGGGGTCCATTGTCCCTCTTGGGGGGAGATACTCCCACAGGGTTTAAATCTGGGACTCTCCACGTTTGACCTTAGAACTGAAGAAGCTTTTCGGATGAGAGGTGAAACGTCTTCAAGCAACTTAAAGAAGTCCAGACGCCTTTTCTTTCCAGGCTCCAGTAAACAAGGTTAACTGTTTACTGAGGTCAGCGGTCAGTGTGAGATCGTTTTCACATAAACTTCTATACAACAGGACGTCTTCTCTCATTTTTTATATTGTTGTTGTTCAAAGCAGTAATGTTTTGTGAAGTCGATGGAGGGCTTGCTTGATCAACAGATCCAGTATTTAATAAAGTTACACTTAAGCTTGCGTATAAAAACTTGGCAGGAAAAGTGGAGGACAATACAGATTAAATAATTAAATTAGTGAGGTAACAATCAGTTACAGAACAAGAAAAAAAAAGAAAATTAAATAATTGAAAGCTGGGAGTAAAATCAGCTGGAAGATGCCAAATATCAGAAAAGGTGACAGTTCATTTTAATGCAAACTAACTTGTCCGGTTCATGCTGTGTGTTGTTAGACTTACATCAGGAAGAACTGTGTGGTCACTCTGCAGCAGCAGGGTGCACAGCTCATCTCGGCTCAGGCTCTCCAGCTCATGCTCCCTCAGAAGTCTTTGGTTATGCTCAGAGGTCAGCTCATGGGAGAAGCTGCAGCCCCTCCTGTTATAACAGAATCCACACAACTGAGTCATGACTAGGAGTGCTAGCATCCATTTGCTCAGTTAAGAATAAAAAAACAAAAAACAGCGTCATATGAGACAGCTGTCTTTGTGTAATGATTAATAAGGCTTTATCTGCATGGTACAAAGTCAGCGGTTAGGTTCAAGGCAAACAGCCACCCTGATAACTCTTAGAAACAGTACAACATCAATGTGAAAACTAAGTTTGAAGTTTAGGGAAACATGCTTGGGAAACAGGATTAGCCCAGTACTAGATGGTTTTCTATGTGGCTGGGTAGACGCAGCAGCCGCTTTAGTTTTTATTTTTCATAGTAAACTTTGCTGATGTTGGAAAATCTTTCTGTTCTGTGGATGAACGTAGCCATGTTCTTTTCACTGTCACTCTTTTTACTCATTTCAAAGCAAAGCTTCAGTCTAAAAGACAACCAGAGAGCAACCTTTCCTACTGGCCCTCAAAGCCACATTTTGTTATTTGTTTAGTTTAGCTTTTTGAATAAATGTGTCAAACTGCTGTAAATTGTCAGATTTTCCTAACAATACCTAAAGGCACCATCAGTGTCCTGGACTTTAAACCTGTTGATTTTACAACCATATGTGATATAACTACATGACATAAATAACACTCCCTAAATAAGCTCTGTTACTTACTTTTAAGTCCAGTATATTTACCTGAGCTGAGTGAACTGACAGAATCCGCTGAAGAGGAAGTTTTTGCACAGGTGTAGACCCCTGCATATCCCCAGACAGTCTTTCACTCTGCAAAGTCTCAGGCGGGTCCTGGCCACCACCTTCGGCTGTCCGTTTGGACAACAGGAAACAAATTTCTCTCGGTTACAAATGATCTCCGACAACTTCGTGGGATCTCCGGAAAACAGATTATACACTAAATCCTCCGTGTTGACTGCTCCTTGGCCGGCGCAGATCATTCTCAGTATTTCCGTCTCCATCGTGTCCGAGCTCTGCCTGCGTTTCCTTCCACCTGTGACATTAAACTGACGAAAGCCTCATTTCTGACGACTGGAAAGCGAAACTCAACAACCTTTAACCTGGACGGATGCTGTAATGCTGCTGTTTTCCACTCTGAGTCGTCGCTGCGCTGTATGACCTCCATACATCCCACACCTCGGCTTTCTTCTACTTCACAGCTGAAACATTTCCAGTAATGAAACATGCCATGAAGATACAGGATCTATATAATACAGAAAATTCGCAACAAAAACATTTAGAATTTATTGAAAAACAAATGTTATGCCAGACTTTCCATCAAACCTTTGAGGTGAACATTTGGATTTTTAGCTGCTGAATTCTAAATGCAGGCTGTCTGCTGTTTGCAGCTTGCAGCGAGGGTTATATGGGGGAACAGAAGAGTCAAATTAATTTTGTAATTCTTTTATTTATTTAGACATAAATAAAGTCTGCGTCAATATTGTAAAATAAATGATTATTACATTAATAAATATTCAAATCAATTTCTAAAACATAAAAAATAAGTCTCAATAAAAAACACATTTTAGAATTCCAAAGGGAAAAAAAATCAATACAATTTAAAAAAGAGAAATGAGTAAACAGAATTAAAGGGAAATGGATAAAAAAAACCCCAAAGATTTATTTTGACCTTTTCTATCCTTAGTAGTTTAAATCATATTACCAAATGTATTAGCTTTGGGATTAATTAACGGATTAGCACTTGGATTAGCTATCAGATTAAATGTCAGATTAGCTATTCCATTTAACATTTGGAAAAAGCAATGCAAGTTCATCATGCCGTGCGATGTAAGGAGCTCTCCAACTGGTTACAGAGACACAATCTGGCTGCCTTGATAACTAGCTAGGGACGATGATGCATACAGAGAGAAGGTGCAGTGGCTGGCACTTTGCTGCAATGCCATAATCTCTTAATGTTGACAAAACAAAAGAGCTGATCGTTGGCTTTAAGAAGGCCGAGGCTGTCCATCTCCTGCTCAGCATTGCTGGTGTCACAGTAGAGAGAGTGAAGAGCACCAAATTCCTCGGTGTTCACATCACAGAGGACCTGTCCTGGACCAGCAACACCAAATCAGTGACAAAAAGGGCCCAGCAGTGACAGCACTTCCTGAGACGACTGAAGTAGGCGCACCTCCCTAAACCCATCCTTATGTATACAACTATATGTGACTGAATTACAACAACTCTGCAAAGATGAGTGGGTCAAAATGCTATACCTCTGTGTGTGTGCGTGTGAGAGGGATAATATTATGCATACATATGTCATTTTGTTTGATTATTGTACTTAGTTTGTACATTTGTACAAATCTCATATCCCGATATAAGAATTCTATCGTCCGATAACGATATAAATCACAAAAATGTAACATTTTCTGTCAATTCTGTGAATCTCGGGCAGCTCGACTTGCGGGAAGTGTTTCCAGCTGCGCGTCATGCAGCTGGAGTCCAGTGTTTTAACAGATGCATTAAACTATACATTTTTAGACATAAGTTGTAACGGCCACCATTTTCTTTGTATTTATTACACGGCGTGCTGCAGGGAAAAGCCTGTTCTAACGTTTGAGTCTAAGGTTTATTTTTTAGCATCTGGCGGCTCTTTTTTTTACTTCTCATCCGTAAATAATCTGCTCTTTCACGTGATTCAGTTTATTTTGAAAAGTCTCAACAGGATCTTGAGCTTTATTGTGAAAGGTTTATGTGGAACATAAACAAGCGGACACCCGATATTGTTGCTAAAGACAGTGCATAAAACAGGCGCTTGTCCGTGTGTAGTGTGGTTGTATTAAATACACTGAACAAAAATATAAACGCAACACCTTTGTTACTGCTCCCATTCCCCATGGGATGGACGTAGAGACCTAAAATTCATTCCAGATACACAATATAACCATCCCTCCCAAACAGTGGTCACAAATCAGTCCAAATGTGTGGTAGTGGGCACATCTGCTATATTGAGATAATCCATCCCACCTCACAGGTGTGCCACATCAGGATGCTGATCTGACATCATGAGTAGTGCACAGGTGTACCTCAGACTGCCCACAACAAAAGGCCACCCTGGAATGTGCAGTTTTGTCTCACAGCAAAATGCCACAGATGCCACAAGCAATGAGGGAGCGTGCAATTGGCATGCTGACAGCAGGAATGTCAACCAGATCTGTCGCCCGTGCATTGAATGTTCATTTCTCAACCATAAGCCGTCTCCACAGGCGTTTCAGAGAATATGGCAGCACATCCAACCGGCCTCACAACCGCAGACCTCGTGTAACCACACCAGCCCAGGACCTCCACATCCAGCAGGTTCACCTCCAAGATCGTCTGAGACCAGCCACCCAGACAGCTGCTGGAACAATTGGTTTGCACAACCAAACAATTTCTGCACAAACTGTCAGAAACCGTCTCAGGGACGCTCAACTGCATGCCCGTCGTCCTCATCGGGGTCTTGACCTGACTCCAGCTCGTCGCCGTAACAGACTTGTGTGGGCAAATGCTCACATTCGATGGCGTCTGGCACGTTGGAGAGGTGTGCGCTTCACGGATGAATCATGGTTCACATTGTTCAGGGCAGATGGCAGCTGAGAATGTCCCAGTTCTTGCATGGCCAGCATACTCACCGGACATGTCACCCATTGAGCATGTTCGGGATGTGCTTGACCGGCGTATACGACAGCGTGTACCAGTTCCCACGAATATCCAACAACCTCGCACAGCCATTGAAGTGGAGTGGACCAACATTCCACAGGCCACAATTGACAATCTGATAGACTCCATGCGACGATGTGTTGCACTGCATGAGGCAAATGGTGGTCACACCAGATACTGACCGGTTCTGGGTCCCCAGACCCCCAATAGCGCAAAAAACTGCACATTCCAGGGTGGCCTTTTGTTGTGGGCAGTCTGAGGTACACCTGTGCACTACTCATGATGTCAGATCAGCATCCTGATGTGGCACACCTGTGAGGTGGGATGGATTATCTCAATATAGCAGATGTGCCCACTACCACACATTTGGACTGATTTGTGACCACTGTTTGGGAGGGATGGTTATATTGTGTATCTGGAATGAATTTTAGGTCTCTACGTCCATCCCATGGGGAATGGGAGCAAAAACAAAAGTGTTGCGTTTATATTTTTGTTCAGTGTATAAGAGAAAGAGAGAACTTTAAGAAATTAATATAGCCACTACAGTAACCATCAAAATGACGAAAAAATATTGCCGTAAACAGTTTATTTTGCGACACCACGAAACAAACGATAGCGTAAAATGAAACGATAGACGTTTTTATATCGTCATCCGATATATATCGTTATATCGAACAGCCCTAGTGGTATGATCTTTTCCTATTTAAGGATGATTTTCAATCCACTGGTTCCCTTCATGTCTGCCAGTACTCCATCCTGTCTGATGGTTCATTAACAACAAATAGCTACAAGCTTCAAACCTTCAACCCCACACCAGCTATTGCCCTCAGAGCCTTCGCTCCCTGCTTTTACTGTTCTGCACCTCCTCATCATTCTCTAACTCCTCCTGTTGTCCAAACAACAGCAGCTGATAGGGTGGTAGGCCTTTCTCCTTGGACAAAGTGGCTATTATCAGTCTATTCAATAAGCTTCTACCACACAGAATACAACAACAACCGCAGCACTCTATAGTAGCTAGGAAACATGCCATTTATACTAACAAGGACATGCAATGGTCAATTTTTGAGTCATATCAGTCTATTTGTTTGGCGCCTTCACCGGTTTCTGATTAGGCCTAAGACTCAGCCAGAGTTTACAAAGGTGATTGTGCAGGTATACAATGTGTCATGTGGTGATAATTAGCTCCAGCTTTACCTTTTATCTGGACAGCACTAGACTGGATGTGCATTTAATCACCTCATAGGGTCCAGTCCACCAGGTTTCAAGCCACTTTCTATTGTGAACTTTCACCCGCACCAGTCACCAGCCTTTATTGCTGGAGTTGTAGTTTCCTCAGGCTCAGCCAGCTGCACCTGCTTAAACAAAACTTAAAAACTCACTTAGTCTACGCTGTCATATATTCATCACAGTTCACCTGCCAAACATCCAGAGAGGTCATACAACCTCCCTCTCAGGGTTGGGCCAGGCATTGGCCTGCCTCTCAGCGACTCATGTGGCATCAGGTGTGTATGCGCACCCGGAGAGGTTCTCATTGACATAAGAAAAATGAGGAGAGTGTCCACCCATCTCAGTCTACTGTCATAATATATGCCAGAATTTTTCTCTTCAGTCTGATTTGCCCTTTCACCACCCCTTGTGAGGCAGGGTGGTAAACAAATCTGTGTGTTATACCTAGAGCCTTTTCTACCTCTGCCAGTTCTTTATTGGACAAATGTGAATCATTGCCAGAGCATATGCTCCTCGGGACACCATAGTCTGCGCTCATTCATTTTTGAATAGGATTGCTTCCACCTAGCTTGTGAAGCAGTCCACCGCCACCAGCAAGTAGCTGAAACCTCTCACTCTGTTTTCAACTCCCAAATCAGGGACTTGGCCAAGCTCTTGAAAATCTTGAAATATGTGCATCCGCTGCAAGGCTGCAGCAGCGTGTGTAAGTTGACAGCCACAATAAAGAAGTGTACTGAAAAGTGCAAACATGTGGTCGGGTCTGTCGTGCATCAGTGGTGCTGAAACCCAGGATTGGGGCTACCAGAGTCTTTGTGTGTCGGTGTGATCTGTCCTCTTTCTTCCATGGGTGAATCCTCTTCAGGTTTGTTTTACTCCTCTGAGGAAAACGCAACATACCACATGTCTACTTCCACTGCCTTCCAAGCGTTTGGTGC